GGTAAAAGCAAGTCACGCCTCCAAAATCTTCCCGAATGAGCAACTGTTGTCAGTGGCTTTTATGAATGTCTAACCTTCTTGTAAACCCGAGCTACTGTAGTTATTTCAGTATATTTCACAATATTTTTAGGGTAATGGGCAATATCTTGGAAAGCCCTACTTTGCATGCGCAAGGTATTTTGACATATCATTAACAGAAAAGCAATACTGTAAAGTATTATTGAAAGGACTCCAGTCTTGCAAAATAATGGAAAAGTGAATAGATGACGTTTTAAAAATTTGAAGCATTTTGTCCCCGGTACGAAGCTGAAGCAGGCAAGAAGGGCAGGATTTATTGGTACCAAAAAATTTCGCGACGACTCTTCAGCTGCGTCCTGTCGCTTCATAAGAGAGATAACGGGTGAGAAGAATACAACAGATTTGAATTCGTGCAGAAATCGATGACGGATAGCGTTTGAGGAAGACAGCTTCACCATGCCATTGGAAGCAGTGGGTAACCAGTGTCTTAAAAAATATATCGAAGCATATCGCATGAGAATAACAGAAAATACTCCTCTGAGTCTGCCCTCGAAGTGACCATGGGTTACTCCTAAAACATCTATATTTTGGCCAGATATGAGCAGAAGACGACATTCATTGTTATATATTAGGACCGATAACACTTGCTAGAGTAGTTTTTTAGTAATGAGAACACCAAATAAATCTGGGCTATCACCATGGCTATTCCGTATTGCACTTCCTCCTATTTAAGATATCACTGTGACTCTACATGTTACGAGAAGATTTGAGATCCTCCTCAAGCGCGAGTATATAAGCTGTTCTTTCGTTGAGATCCTAATGGAACAACGGAATATATCCTCTGCTCACAATCCGAATAAAGGAAGTAATTGGGACGAAAAGTGACTTGATGAAAATCTACCAGGTGTTGGAATGACAGGCTTCTGAATCTTGACAATAGGACGCTTTATACAGTCGGGTTGATGCCATTCTTTATAATAAACAACTGACTAGTATTCATATCAAAAAATCATAGGTCAGAAGAGCCCTAGTGACGGCGAACAGAACTAGCCATTTGAAATATGCCACGGGAAAAAAAGCAGATTGCCTACTTTCCACCTTAAACAGTTTCATTAGGACAGATAGTTGAGAACAAAAGGAATAATCCTTTTTTCTTTTTGCATGTAATTCAGTTAGGTATGAACTATTTATTGATGACGTAGACTACAATATTCCTGCATTATTGGTCAAAAGTAGTAGACTATAGGATTTCACACAGTCAACGCCAACTCTGCTAGCTTAATTGATAGACCATTTGGCCAGTTTGCCAGAAAAAGACGGTTCGGACCCCTTCCGGGGTGAAAGTTCGCGTCGTGTGAGTTCATATTTCCATAGTCATTAGCATCAAAATATAATTGGTGCTGGAGTTCACCCCCGACCTACCCTTTTTAATGCATCCTCAGCCATTTCTTTGGCACTTAGCTCAGCTTGAAGGGCCAGCTGTGAGCTGAGAGACGCCACCTGAGCTTCTTCGTGACGGACTTGATTCTTCGAAAGACGAGCGCTCCAGGCGGAACGTCTAGGAGAAATCTAGAAGGAGACCCAAAAAATCGTGAGATTCAGAAGGAGTCAAGAATATAAGGTCCTTGGCTACCAAGTCTATTAGATAACGCAGTTCGATTGGATACATTTCCTACTTATGCACTTGATCCCGTCTCCGATCTTTTTGATTCGTCCTGGGCATGGGCCCCGGCGGGTGAGGAGGGGAGAATGCGGTAGGCGTTGTGCAAGTCCACTGCCATTATGAACTGATTAATGCGCAAGATACCGTCCTTGCGCCTACTCTGCTGCGGGGCACACGGTGGACATTGTCCAAAACGACGGTCGAACTGTCATCAGTTCAAGACAATAAGGTAAATATGATATTGCCATTGCTGCCGAGTTCATGCTTGGATGTGAGACTCTTCGCTGTGGCCTCTGTGCCAGATTTGTTCCGATGACCACGGGGAACGTGTTAGTGGTCCAAATATTGGCAGCTACAGCAATTACTCTCTGACGCAGACTACGGAAACAAGAAACTCTTACTGCCAAAAATGAATGCTCTGATAGGGACAAACACTGCAAAGTACCCGGATTTATGTCGATTTCTCCAGCCAGTGGCTGTCCGCCGGCTCTACGAGTACCCGCCTTTTTCTTGCATCTGATGCGCATGACGAGCCTAATTTACCCTAAGCTTCTGTTGGGGTTGTGAAGCAAATCTCTGTGTAGGAGACTTTTGTATTTCCAGAGTATCGT